AAACTGCTCCTCCAGAGCAATGAGGCGGTCAGAGATGGAACGCCCCGCTTCAACCGCGTGCTGGTGCCGGTGCTTGTGATGCCGGTAGACATTATTCAGGTGCTCCTGCCGCACGGGTTCTCTGAAACCCGGGCTTGCCGAACACGCCGGTTCCAACTGCGAACGCTTTGCTTCATGTTGGCTTAGGTGCCGTTTTTTGGTAAATAGATGGCCGCAGACGATTGGACCAGAAAAACCAGGAATCCCCCTCGACTCTTCAACCACAAGCCTTTCCTAGGTCCTCCAGTAGAGAGGTTAGAATGAGTTGGTTCCCTTTTTTCTGCAGTCTATTTTAGTCGGGGAACCCAAACCCCCCCCAAAAAAAGGGGAGAGAACGGGCACCTAGCTGGGGAACCTAATTAGTTTTTTTTTTCCTCACCGAACATGCAAAACAAATGAATTCCACCCCCAACGTATTGATGCCCGCTCTCGCTCTCTCTCTCTCTCTCTCTCTCTCTCTCTCTCTCTCTCTCTCTCTCTCTCTCTCTCTCTCTCTCTCTCTCTCTCTCTCTCTCTCCCTTCGGTCGCCTTCTCGGCCTTCTCAGCCTTATCCTCGCTGGTGCCCAAACTGGAACGCAAACTCTTGGTGGAGTTCCGCTTGTGCCTGGACGGCCGCCTGAGAAAAAAAAGGAGAAAAACAACAAAATCCGGCGGAGTTGAATTGAAGCTGCCGGCGGAATTGCAAAAACCGCTCTTTTCACATTTCTGGTGGGCCTTCGGCCTTCCTTTCCCATTCCCGAAGTACCAACGATCCTAAACTGAAGCGTTAGGTCCAACCGAGACACGCTGAACATCGAAAGCGCACTCTTGGGATCCCGGCCGATGATCCAGTTGAACACCCAGCGAAGTCGCAATCCTCGAGTCGCAGCTCCGAAGACGCTGATCACTTCAACCAACTTGGCACGGGGATGAGCCCGTGGTTTCCTAAAGCCCGAACTCTTTCTGAAGTTCCCCAGCTCTCGCGTGTCTTTGCCAACCTTTGGGGTTTCGTGCCATTGCAGTCTGGGGGCCGACTCATGTGGCTGTTCAGCTGGTCCTTAGACGCTGGCCCTTTCAAGCGGTGCCCATGGTCTCTGGCTCGAGAATCGGCCGCAAAAAAAACAACCATGTCACAGCCTGTGGGGCTTGGTTTCCCGGAAAGAAAGAAAAACGCAAGCTGTCGTTCAGACACCCTCCCAAATCAAGGACCATGTCCCTGAAACCTGCGCGCGGCAAGTTGGCGAAGCGGCAAACTTGGTTTGGCTGTAGTTCCACAACCTGGGCATAGAAATCGGCTGGACACCGCATGGCTGGCTTCGCGTTCGGGCGAGCAGCTCTTCGTTTTGCCGCAGCGAGCGCATGACGTTGTACTTGATGAAGCGGTTCGCGGTCCTGCGGGCAGCAAAAGAGAATCGCCGGCCCGAAACATGCATGGCACATGGTGGCAGAGGAGCGGCAAACAAGCAACCCTAGAAACAAACAAACAACACAAACAGAAACACAGACAGCGACAAACAAACCCTCCATGGGCGGGCAAACTGAGAACGAGACAAAGACTGAGAAAGAAAATGACAGAGTCGGAGACAGAGAGAGAGAGAGAGAGAGAGAGAGACTGAACATACTGCATGTATGCTTGCTGCCGAGGCTCTTGGATTCATGAACCCAGCGACTAAGTGGCTGGATGAACTCCTCCGCTTCCACAGCCCCGGAACCTGCGAATTCAGCGACTCGTCCGCTTTTCTTCGGTAAAGATCGGCCCCCGGCCGTCGGTGTCGATCATCTGGAAGAGTTGCTGCAGGTCCGTCTGGCGCGCTTGGGGCGCGCGCGAGAAAAAGGTCGGGGGGGTTTGGGGTGAAAACCGCCCGGATGTGCTCGAAACCGAGTAAACACGGACCCAAATTGAGAATGCCACGGCCGCACTGCATTGGATCAACCTGGGATCGAGAACGGTTCCGAGATCGAGCCTCGTCGATGTCCATCACCCTCAGGCGGCTCTGGAACTCGGGGTCCTGCGCCGAGTCGAAGGTCTTTCGCGAAAACCAGAAACACGCCACTTGGACCAAACAACAGGGTGTCCCTTCACCAGTAAAGGGGGGGGAAGCGGGTTGACATTGAGGAGATCACCTTTGGTCAACGCCAACAAGAAAAAACCCTTCGCAAGAGGGGAACAAAGGTGACTTGCTGGGTCGATAGGCAGGGAAAGAGACATCGAACCCCTAAGGGGCAAAGGGGAAAAGGTCTGCGCAAAGTCACCTTGCGAGCCAAATCCCCTTCCAGTTCATTCCTTCACCAGAAAACAAGGGGGAAAAGCACGTTCAGAAAAAAACACGTTCAGAAGGGGAAAGGGGAAAAAGGTGCACCTCTTCTCCGCTTTTTAAAACGGCGTCGGGTTGAGATCCCCGGCCTTTTTGGCGCCCTCCTTCAACTCTTCCAACGTCAGCTCGCCACCTTGGCGCGAGACGTTCCGGTGCTCCAGGTTTGGCCCCAAAGCTGAAAGGAACCTCCACCTTTTGGGATTAGGCAAACCCAAGAAAAGAAACTGGCCATGAGCGAGCTTACGGATTTGGTACATCTGTTGCGCTCCTGTTGCCCGTGCGTCGCCAAGAAGCTTCCATCCTCGTCAGCACGTTCAAAAATCTTCCTCAGAACCATCTCTTTCCAAAAAAGGACAGGTTCTCAGCTACTGTGAAGCGCATGGCTTCTTCAAAATTCGTCCGCAACTTCGTCTCGACAACTTGCTGGCGACGTCTCAGAACCAGCCAAACACACAGGCCACGCCGCTGCAAGAACTTCTTGTCTTGCTCAATCTCTTGCTCCATTTCCTGCAAGCGCGACACGTGCGGAAAGGCCCGGAAATGTGCGGAAAGGCAGCCCCATTTTGGTGTGTCGTTTTGCGAGTGCAACCCCCAGGTTTTGTGGCTAAGGGGGGCCAAAAGGGAACCCACCATCATGCACCATGGGGTAGGTCCCCATGTCGGGGCGGCTCAAAAACATCGCAAGTTCTTCCAAGATCTGCGGGTCCTCTGCCCGGTTGAGTATATCCCGGTCGCGAAGCTCTGCAAAAGTGTCGACTACGACGGCGACAATGAGATTCAAGACCTGAGGTTGGACCGCTCATTTTCTAGAACCAGGCCGCAGGCTTTCGTCCATTTCATCATGTACTACGCGGGTCAATATTTGGAGCCACAAATCGGAATCGGTTAAACTGCTAATGGCTACGCCTAGGCAGATCCTCAAAAGTGTGGGGAGCCACAACGGCTATGAAGCATTGACGCAGTTGAACAGTGACCTGATACCAAATTCAATCTTGGTCTCCGAAAAAACAACCTTATAGGGGGGTTGTCATAGAAGAACCGACATGGTTGCTCCTTTTGGTTTCCATTTAAATGGCAACCCAAAGGGGCACTTATGTGACTGGGTGGAGCCTTCCAAACATGCAAGCCGACCGGTTCCTTCATGGGGAAATGACCACGCACATTCGCGTGCGGGTGGAGTGCTAAGCATGCGTTGAGCACTTGAATGATTGTGCCAGCGTGAGGCCAGCGAGGGGCTTGCAGGCGGCGCACAGGTGCCAAATGCGCGTACACGTACCATGTCGCGTGGCACGCGGCCAACGCGCGGTGTGTGATTTGGCAAAATCCCAAGCATGGCAGTGGTCGAGGCGCCGACGTTGAAAACGGAATTCGCGCAGCAAAGTTAGGGACTGCGACTCATGTCAAACAACAAGGTGCAGCGGGGCCGGCGCTCCTTCTTCTCGCTTGCAGATTGCAGGAAAAGTGACCCTTCGAACCAGCATCAGCGTGCACCAACCACCATCAGCATGCACCAACCACCCAGTTGACAAAGGGCAGGGGGCGCACGAACAAAGGGCGAAGTCATTCGAACAACCCCAGCCGTGATACGTAAATATGCAACTACAACAACAAAGCCGCGCTGCGCGGAGTGTGCAGGATGCATGGCTCAAAGATTCCTCAGCCTCCGTGGGCCAACGCAAAGGCACAGAACGAGAAACATACGGCAGCGCGCGCCAAAGGGAACAGGGACAAACGTATTGGACAGGCACGGCAATCACACCGCGCTGCGCCTAGCAACCTTGCGATGGGCCCATCGCCACAAGTTGAGCTTTTTGAACTGGACGCTGCTCCTAAGGGCCAGCTGAGCATCCGGCGCCGAAAACAAGTGTCAGCTGGGAGCCCACAAAGATGATCGCGGTGGCTGGGAATTCCTGGCAAATCCACAAGCAAATTCCCGGCAAGCACTCCAGCCCTCGAACTTTTCTGCGCATTTTCAAGGCGAGCCGTTTCAAGAGATCCGGTAGCGTCGCCCAAGTCTCCCAGAGACCCGCCTCGATCACCGGCACGGCAATGAGACCCCAACTATCTCCCGCAATCACGGTCCTGAAGCGTCAGCTCTGGTCGGCCAGCGGTCAAACAATTCTGACTCCCAACTGGTCACCCCCAAACCCCGAGCGTCTTGAAGAGCAAAAGGTTTGCGCTCATCACCTTGGATGTCAGTAAGTCGCCAGCGGCGACCTTTTGTAGCGATCAAATACCCTTTCTCTCCCTTGCAGCTCTGTTGCCGAAGAGGCTGCGCGCTGACACTGCTCGCAATTCGCGAAGGTACCCGTTCCTTGCTTCGGGAAGCTACCCAGGCAAGTTCGTCCAAGCTTGCCGATGTTTGAGCCCCGCAATGTCGCGGGTCTTTTTTTGTTTGTTACATGTTGGACACAGCTCATCAACGCGGGCCACATGCAGCACAAGTCACTTTCATGCAGATCCAATATCAACCTTGGTGTCGCCATGGCAGCCTTTCCCTATGAAAAACAAAGCCTGAAGGCGCTAACAAAGCACGTCTACATGGTGTGGCTGTCAGCGGTCAGTGATGCGCCTGGATTGCGCGTTTCTTTTTTTGGAGGAAATGTAGCAATCCGATGGCCAAGCAGCGGGTACACGAGCTCAACCATCAACATCGCCCACACGCTCCTGAACACAAGGTGCGCCCACGTGTCAGGCATCCGTCGTGAGCCAGGAAAAGCTGCTTATATCCAACACAACGTCAACTCCCGCGCAACAAACAGCACCGAAGCCACCCACTGCAGCCACAAGGACAACTGACAATGCAAACAAGAATGCCCGCCACTACAACCACAGCAACAGCAGCAGCAACTAAGCAGCACAGCAACAACAGCATCAGCAACAGCGGCAAGAGCAACACCAACAGCAACAACAAGAGCAAACACATGAACATGAACAAAAGCAAAACAAAACACGAACCAGAACAAGAACAAAAACATCAACGACAAGGACAAATGCAACGGCAACAGCCAGGAAAAGAAGGATAGAACAGGTTAAACAACCGGGAAGGGTCACAAATGAACCCTGTACACAGCGCGCTTTTTCCTTGAGCCATACGCAGTCGTAATGATGAGACTGCGCAAGTGAGACATTCATGCATTGGGGTTTTACATGGTTGATAAATACATCACATTGCAAACTACACCCCCCGTGCCCGAATGTGAAACAGGAGGACAAATTGAAGGGATGAAACAACCAACGAAACCCGATCGGCATGAAGTCCTTTTGCAGTACACAAGCACTTGGATTCGAGCAACTGACAGTTAAGGTCTTCCGCCTCCACTGACCGTCGCTCTCGCGAGGCGTGCTCATGCACTGTACATTGATCCCCGGCCAACATGGATTGAGAAGTATAATGAATATTGAATTTGAAGTGTAATTGGATGTCAGCCGAAGTTTGAAATGATTGATGAAGAGATCGCTCATTCATCGCCAATCCCAATTGCGGGAGCTCTTCCACGGGCGCTGATCATCAGACCACCACGAGTCCCAGGACTGGCCCCAGCTTCCCCAGTACGACTGGCTCCATTGACGATCTTGCCAGTGACCACCGGTCTCCCGGAGCTGCGGAATGGGCTTGCGCGTCACACCGACAACTGCAGGGAGCGGAGTGGCCCGTCCAGGAATTTCGATGCCGGGGATCTTCTCTTCGACGAAGCAGAGCAACTCAACCAATACCATTTCGGGGTCTCCCACAGACGAGAAATCCCGGGTCCAGCCCATCACGGGGTAGCGGTTGCTCTTGTCAAGGCTTCCATACAATGCAGCAAATTGTTCTGGTTCCAGAAATCTGCCGCCATGCACCACATACACGTCTTTCGGATCAACCTCCTGCACGTCCTCTGTTGGCGGCACCAGCGTTAGCCGGCGTGATATTTCGGCACAGCAACGCTTCCTTGGATCATTTCCTTTGTTCTCCCGAAACTCGGAATAATGCATCGTGCCACCTTCTCGATAAACTCGAGGGCGGACGGCGTCAGGTCTCCCCGCGCGGCAGTGTAGGCGTAGAAGGGGTCATTGATCAGCCTCTCGTACAACGTGGTGTACTCCTTGTTGCGAAGAACTGCTTTCTTGGCGATGTCCTTCATGATCCCGAGGCCCCCTCTTGCGCTTCGATCCCCTCGCGCATCCTTCCGCTGCGTCAAGATCTGAGTCTCAACCTGGTCCATGGAAAGCGGCACGCCCAAGCTGTTGGCCATCTCCTGCAATCGGACGACCCTGGCTATTTTCTTGATATCGGGCATGCGCTCCATGAGACGGTCACACTGGAAACAGTTGATGGTGCCGACCGGGATGAGGATTTTGCAGCGCGGGCACTCAACGTCGGGGATGTGCATGACCTCCGCGAAGCGCCAATTGGTCGACTTCTGCCTGTTGGGATCCAGGTCCTGCCACAAACCACTCCGGCCTCGGGTTTCCCCGGGCTGCTGCTTCACAGCTCGGGCCCAGTTTCTGTAGAGGCCATAGCGGGCGGTCTCGAATTCAAGCGCGACCTGCTCCTCTTTCGGGAGGTTCTCGTCGTAAACGTCCCTGACCTTCGTCACATTGCCAATGCGGTGGGGCCGCATCATGTCGCGGCACGCTGTCGGGGCCCACTGTTTGTAATAGAGCTTACACTCCTTGTCGGCCTTCGCCATGAACGATTCCAGCACTGGGGTCCCGACAACGCCCTTCTGGGTCTCTTCCCGATACTTCTTGATGCTGTCCTGGAAATTCCGTCTGACGCTGACATACATCCGGTTGGACCAGATAAACTTTGCACATTCAGCGTCATAGGCGTAAATGAGGACCTTGTTCGTGATCCACTCCTCCGTCACCAGGGCTTCCCCGTCTCCGGGTGCGTACAGCCGACATCCCAATTGGATCAACATCTCCACATCGACGGCGATGTTGATGGGTCGGTCAGCACGCGCACCCCCCGCCTTCCGGCCATGCCTGTCCCAAGGAGGCACTACCGTTAGGTAGGCGTGACCACGCGAGGTTTGCCGGTCTCCCATTCCGCCCGGAAAGATGCCCATGTAGATGATGTCAAAGAAATTCTGCATGTTGCACGTGGTTTGTGGTGAGGCGAGTTGGGCAGAGACTGTCGGAGTGATGTTATGTGTGTGGGGTGAGTGGGGTGGAGGTGGTGGGTGGGGTAGGGGGTGTGTCGGCAGGTTGTGTTTTGTTGGTTTTTCGGTTGGTATGGGTGGTGTTAGACTTTAGTTTGATTTATTTTTTGTGTTTCTTCCTTTTTTTTTTTTAGTATTTTTTATTTCTTTTTTCTATGTTCTTTACTTATTTTTTGTTGAGGCTCGTGTGTCGAGAAATCTTGCAGAAAAAGCCGGTCGCAACACCGTCGCGTTGCTCGGGAAGTTGTTTTTTGTAATTGACATCCATTGCGATGGGATCTCCAGGAATATTGTCAAAGCCGCTGGCCTCAGTCACCCAATCGTTGTGGCCGGTGAACGCGCGAATGCGTAGCGGCATGAAACTGAGCCCGTTCCATTGCTGCCCGGCCGGCGCGTACTCGACATAGACCTCGAACCGATTCGATGCGGACGTGGCCTGAAGAAGAGTGTATTGGGTGCAGTTCCAGTCATATCGACGCTGGATCCATTTGGCGACGGCTGCGTAGTCGAAGGAGTTGTCCTTGAGATTGATCTCAGGGATGGATCGCGTCGCATGTTCGTGGGCATGTCCTCGAACCAAATACGACACCTTCTTGCTCAAGAACGTCCTTCTGCCATAGTTCTGGATCTGGGGAATCTTGATTCCTGAGCATTTGATCCACTCCCTCTTGGGTTCAGCAGCCTGGCCACGGGTCTCCCCGGGCTTCTCAGCAGCTTTGGAAACTGCCTTCGCCTTGGGGATGATCTCCGGGCCACGGATCTCTCCGGGCTGAGTCTTGCTGGTCCCAGCCACGGACGCCTGATCGCTGGATGAGGCAGCCTGCATTGGCATTGCCTTTGATTTCACCTTTGGTGTCGCAGCACGGAGAGCTGCAGTCATTTTGTTATGACTTTTCCGCTTGGAAGTGAGGATGAGCTTGATTTGGCCGTCCTCACCAATGTCATTCGGATCCACTGCGGCAACCTCAACGGCCTGGCCTTTCGGCCGGCTGAACTTAGGCTGAGAGCCAGGGGGCAGGTCGAAGCTGATCAGATCCTCCTCATCCGAAGAAGAAGACCAATCGATCACATCGTTGAGGCCGCTGACAGTCGCCGCGTGAATGTCAGGTTGCATCATCTGCAAGATCTTTGCTTCCTCCTTGACAGTGTCAAGGGGGTAGAGGGGGTTTGCCTCCTTTTCGGTCTCCAGGAAAATCTCGCGCTTCGGCTCTTGCGCAGCGATTTCATTGATCGCCTCCAACTCCCTCTCACGGACCTCATTGTCGAAAGGGTCCTCAGGGTTCTTCGCAATTGCCGGACCGCCAGTTTCCTGGGGTGTAGCGCCAACGATCGGGATGGATGTGTCAATGTTCATGTACTCCCTTTCGAGGCGGTACCAATTCATCGCCATTTCGAAGCGGTTGATCTGGCCAATGCAGTACCCGAGCTTCGCAGCAGCTACGAAATATCGAATGTAGTGCTTTCTATTCCGCTCACTGTCATCGGTGTGAATGCGGTCAGCTCGGGACGTGTTGGAAATAAGAGTCTGTGGGTCGAGGACGGTGATGCCTGCGGAACGATGCAGCAGTCGTGCGTGTCCGTCCATCTGAGTTTTGTAAGATTCACTCAGCCCATACGTCTCATAGTCTCTCGGCACGATGAGGACGACCTGGACGACATCTTCCCGGAAAGCAGTATGGCGAAGCCGGTCACGGACAGTCATCACCGCTCGGGCATTCCTCTCGATGATGTCCATCGCAGCCTTCCGCTTTGCCTCGGAATCTGTGGCCCAGCCCGCTAGGGCGGCGGGGTTGTCGATGTAACCGTTACGACCGACAACGTCATTCCCGGACCACGAGATAACGATGACGTATGGCCGGGGCTCAGGCCTTTCGGCGAGCTTGAGCATTGCCCGCTCAGCGGCGTCAAGGGACTCCGATAGCCCTTTGCCCCATGTCATCTCGGACCAGACCTCGTGCTTGTGCCCAAAGAGTGTCCGCTTATTCTCCTTGATGATGGTGCCAACATCTGTCTTTGCTCCATCTTTGACCAACGCATTGAAGGAGTCGCCGAAAAACAGATAGTTGACCGCGGGTTTCCCCGGGCAGAAGAGGATATCGAAAGCCTCAACCGGAGCCTCTTTGAGAATTCCCGCAGTACCTGTCAATGATGACATGGCGTTCTTGGCGAGAGCCAGCGCATCGGTACGTTCACTCATCTTGGCAAGGTCGACACCGGAGTTCACGTCCTTGACGATGAATGATTGAGTTGCCGCATCACGGAACATGTCTGACCAAGCCTCTCGGTTGGCGACGCGCAGCTCGTCGGGGATGACCTCGGCCTTCACCTTCCCATCGTGCAGGATGTAGTCCGAGCCGTAGTCAACTCGAGCAAGCGGCACATCTTTGTAGTGCCTCTCGGAGAATGCCGAGCGTACCGTCTTCAAGGCCTTCTCCACGGGCAGTGCTTCAGCCATGGTCGCAACTAGTATCCGTGTTTGGACAACTTTTTCTTGAACCGACACTGCATACGCAAAAG